CTCAGGGCGACTAGCCTAGGAAAGAGAACTGGAGGATAAGATCTGTTTTAAGCTGCTACCAGGAAGGCTTGGAAGACATCTGCAGTTCACAGACAATATTATCAGAGCTACACAGGCTGTTAAGAAAACCACCACTGATTTCAAGTTGACAGTATTGGTCTATTCTGTAATTTATGTCTAGTATTGTGGGTATGGATAGATTTCCATCCCTATCTTCTCTCTTAGCACAACCATTTAAGTGCTGTTATTTCATAAGTAAGGTGATAAGACTTTCTTGGAAGGGGTAAGAAACTTTATAGTTGGGCACTATTAAAATAGTAATCTCCTTTATATGAAAAAATGATATTTAGTTCTCACTTTTAACATAGGGAAACATAAAAATGACCTCCTTCAGCATTAACTTTAAATGATGGATTCCACACCACCACCTCAGGATTCTAAAACACACAATGCTCCCTTTATTTTAGTCCTGTCTGGGACAAATGTTACAGACACAGAGAGAAGCAGAAATCGATGGGTTGGTGCCAGCCCTTCCATTCACCATGTCCCCAAGTTAATAAGGGAATATCTATGGTACAGATGTAAAGATATTCACATGAGCACAGTTACAAATGTTCTGTAGTGTCAGGAAGCCAGGCAAGGCAGACATGCCCCATTGCCATAGGGCGGTCATGACGGGTAGGGATGAAACATAAATTCCCTCTCCTTTATATGTACAAATTCTGCATTCCTGAACAGAGATGCAGACTAGGGCTTTCTTGCATGCTTACTCTCTCCCATGGTTTCCCTTCCCTTGAGCTTTGGCCTTATTCAGGATCAATTCAGATGATATTCCTCTTACTTAGAATCCTCCAAATTATGGCCTCTGGACTCAAACTGCTCACAAGCTCCTTTCCTTTCCTTTTTCCCTACCATCACGCACAGTTTTATTCCATTTCCTGTTTGGTAGTAAGCACAGTTTGCAATGACATCAGAATTAATGAACTATAATTAGTGCTTGCTCCTCCAGCAACAATCAGAAATCTACCTCAAACCATGATTCTTTTTCCAAAGGAAACGTCCAGGCATAGTTTCCTGACTTGGAAGTGATGAGAAACTGGCTACCACAAAGGCAAACCAAGAGAGAGAGAAGATGGAAGAACGGAAGTGAAGGTGCACAGTGGTTCGTTCACATTGCGGCAGATATGGTCTGAAAGATCATCTGAACTCAGCCTTAGATTATAAACCTGACAACAGGGCCTATATTATGTTACATATTAAACAGCTAGTTTACAGTAAGACTTAAGAAATATTTAGAATAGATAGTAATGAAGAAAGAACATTTTATTAAACCTAGTGGCTTCAACATTGCCTTGATACCACTGGCCTTCAAATGGGTCCATAGATATGGATCAGCTAAAAGTTTTTGGAGATTTCAATGAGAAGGAGAAGTTAATACTTGGTTAAATATATGATTAATACACTCAAATGTAAAAACAAAAACAAATTCCTTGCTGCTAAGTGATATCTGTGTGCTTAGACTGTATGGACATGTAGTAAGATGAGGCAGCTGAGCTTTTATTTCCTCCTTGTTTCTGACCCTTCAGCTAACAGGTGTTCCCTCCTCCACATACATCTGTGGAATCACACTAGGTAAGAGAAAACAAATGGCCATGTACAGAGCATGGACTATGCTGTCCATCCTTATTCTGTGGCAAACATCCAAGGAAAGTTTGGTACCATTTGGACACAAGCAATCCAAACCAGATGGCTACTTACCCCTGTAATAGGACTGTATTTTTTCCCATGCCAATGTAGGGAATATTTTTTTAAGAGTGTGGGAGGAAGAAAGATGAGATGATTTATCTAGCAGAAATATATAAAAAAATACTGACAGATGGTATCTTGGGGCAGATGATTATTAATCTAGTCATAACACCCATCAATAGGGTCAATAAAGGTATATCAGCCAAAACACCTTCTGTAGGATTTAGAGGGGTTTCAAAGGACAACAACTTCAAAGTTCAGATAAAAATGCAGATATATAGAAATGCTAATAGTAGTAGCCGAAGTGAACGTATTTTACTCAAGGGCAGGAACATTTTGTTCTGACTTTTCTGGATCAACAACCAATAAAGCACATGAACAAGCATTTTGAGTTAATTTTCCCTACCTATTGCCTTTTCTTTTAACTGCACACTGATTTGTGTATATTCACCTCATTTCTCATGGTTGGGCCCTTGGCACTTGGTTCAATATTTCATTAAATCACCGTGAAAAATAACAGCTCAATTTGTTATGAAACTATAGTCCCCAAGCAACAAAAATTACCTACCAAGTTTTGGTTTCATAATGCAGCATATCATGGCCTTAAGAAGCATTTTCATACATCAAGAATGTACAAACAGTAGAGAGGTGGGCACACTCACAAATATTGCTCTGTTTTTTTGTTTCTTTTTGGAAATAGGAGTAAAAAGGAATTTGCCATCAATATCATCATTCTGCCCACATGGTATAATGTTTTCCTGTTCTCCCACATGCTATCACAGTCCAAGATAATCCAAGAAGGAAACAAATGTTCAATGCTTTCTTCATGATCAGTATTCAACGTGCAGGGTGCTAATACATTTTTATAAACTATTCAAGGACTTAGTGGAATATACAATCACTCCCCACAAGCCTTTCTATTGTCCCCTCTACTCTTGTGTGTTATAAACATTTCTTTTAAAATCACAACTGTTCCTTTGTTAAGAAGCATTACTATCTTTGCTTCATTATTCAGATTGATTTGGGGCAACAGAAATAAAAGTGTATGCTAGAGGCTGATTCTCATTTTACTGGACAATTTAATTCACACACTGGAATCATCCCTGTGCCTCCATTTATATGAACACTATTTACTGTGACCTTGTAGCGCACAGACCATCAGCTGCACAAATATAATAATCCATGGACAAAATTAGTGTCAGACATTATGCTGTGGCTAAAACCTGTAAGCCACTTTTCACAGTTAAAGTTGCACACACAGGGTTGATAACTCTTGGAATAACAACAAATTCTGTATTTGAGTTGTGACTGAAAAAACCTCTCTGGCTAAGCAGCGATCAGGGTAGGTTTGTGAGTGGGGACAAAAATGGATCCAAATTCACAGTTGAAGGACACCTGTATTATTAAAAAAGTATTCAGCTATACATTTTGGTGTTTTTATGAGTTGTAGGATGATGAAGTGGAGAGAGCCTAATGTTGTAACATTTGCTGTAGGTTTTAAGTTTTCCAGAAATTAGAATTCAGAGAGAGAGAGAGAGAGAGAGAGAGAGAGAGAGAGAGAGAGAGAGAGAGAGAGGGAGGGAGGGAGACCGAGCGCGTGCATCCTGCTATGTTTAATGAGGGTTGTGTAAGTTTGCAGCCCAGAAGATGGATTATTATAGTAATCCATACATTCGCACACTTTCACCTTGCCAGGTACCATATTCAATTTGGATTAATAAGTAAATAAATTAAGCAGTAAATCTAGATGCCATGCAAATTTTTGCTGGTGCCAAGCACTTTATCGTCCCCATCCAGATTTAGACCTGAAGACCAAAGGAAGTGAAGGCACATGAACGGTAAATTTTGAGCAAGCATAATTTGGGACATCACACAGTTCAGTTCTGCCCTGAAAGCAAGCAAGAGGTTAATTAGCTTGCCTCCTGTAATATTTAAAAATATATGAATTGCATCTATTTATGCACATATATCTGTGTATATAAAGTACCATATTCAAATCTGTGCATTTATTTGGTCCGATAGGCTTGAATCTTCTGTACCTAACAACATACTTGCTCCATATACATAGTGAAAATGTGGCCTGCGCGCGCCAAAATCTAACTCAGAAGTGCACTGAAATCTGTATTGCTGTGACCCAAGATGACTGTTTGTTTGTTTGTTTGCTATCTGCTTGCCTAATTACTATTCCACACCTTCCTTTAAAATCCTTGCCTGTGCATTTACCCTATGAAAGTAAGAAGAAGCCGGCTGCACTGGAGCAGAATTCCAGCATTCTGTTTCCATTAGTATTCAGTCAGAAGTCCCTGGATGCTTACATCATGCACAGAGGGGGTGCTCCAACTGTTGTACTGCCACTCACACAAGCCTTACTTAGACTAGCAAATGCTAAGGGATAATGGGATCTGGAGGGCCAGGGGTTGCCACCTGGCATAAAGGCAACAGCTCTCCTCAGCCAAACAGGGTTCTCTATGAATTACCTACATGTGTACAATTATGAATCATTTACATTGCACTCACCAGCACAATTTCTTCAGAAAACAGTAGGAAAGAGGCAGGTCACAACGAACATTTTTCGTCTATTCAAAACTGTGTCTTGAAAACAAGCAAGCAAACAAGCAAACCCACCCTCCTGTGAATTTGCTTTTTTCTGACTAAATATAGAAAACAATCTCTTCTACTTTGTATACTGTTCTGGGGTCAAAATAACAACAACTTAACTCCATAATATCTAATGACATTTAAGCAATATGTTTCTTTATGGATGGGATTTAAATGTATACAGCAATGGATATATGATAGATGATTACACATGTACATACATCACCAGATTTTCAACAAGGATAAGAAGTAGAAAGCCCTGTTGCCTCAATTCTGTGCTCACTTATTTGGGAATGAGCCCCGTGAACACAATGGCAATTACTTCTAAGTAAACATGCACATGATCGGGCTATAAGTCTTCCACTTAGAGGTACGCAAATTTATCTTGTTTAAAAGCACTTCTTCATAATAGTGCTTACACTGTATTATTTTGATGGGAAAAAAATACAAGACTGTAACACACAGTACGTGGCAAAGGAAGCCTAAACAGAAACTGGATTTGATTACAATGGCATGGAGATGTTTTGTTTCAAGCAAAGCGGAAAAGTGTTTTGAGTTTCACAACAGAATCTGAATCATTAGTATACACTGTTCATGCATAGAAGAACAACATGGCAGAAAGCATGTCTCTGATGATGCACAGATAAGTTACTTACAGGTAATAAGTGTAGGAGTGATAGCTTCTTCTGCCATGATGGTGGAAGGATTTAGGCAGTGGAGGAAAAGATGAAATGGAAGGAAAGAAAAGCCAAATATTAATGTATGAAAAAATCAAGATGAGACTAGAATTGGAGAAACAAATGAAAAGGTAGCAAGAATGCATCTCAGAAACATCATGCACCACATTTGGAGCAGAAAGATGACATATCCACTCTTCACAAAGCTTAAACAATCACTAACAAATTTCTCAATGAGGTTTTTAACACACTTAACCATTCAACCATGTATCCTACACACATACTGTTCGTAACACACACATGTTAATTCATTAGCCATGCTTACATTTCACATTATAATAGTTACGCTAGAAAGAATAGCATGCCATCTCTAAAACATCAGTAAGAAATCTGGAACAGTAACATTTCATAACAAGTTTGTTTTGCCAGCGTACTGTGGGTTGTATGATCCCAAGGATCTGGTACAGATCTATCTTATGGAAGTTATCGACCTCTCAACACATTTCATCTAATGTCAACAATGTCAATAAAGTTTGGATGTGTGGGCTGGCATTTTACCCACAATGTATCATTATATATGTAATTTTTAAAAATACAGTCAAATGCATCAAGAAATATGTTTTTCAGAATTAAAAAACAAAGTTTTCTTCCTTCATTCAAATCTTAAACATGCTTCATAAAACCAAAATCTTCCCAATGACTAAAAAATCATTCTGTTCCCTCTCCAGTGTGGTTGCCCGCAGCCCTCAATGGCCTTATCAGTGGTGGTGGCCAGAGCACAAGGACCCGTGCAGGCCAGTGAAGAGTTGCTTACCATTTTAATTCTCATAATGCCCCAAACATAGGATCCTGAACATTTAAACGGTGAGCAGATCACAGCCACCTATGGGATTTTGAGGTAAGCCTTGGTGTTAGCGGAAGCCGAGAAGCAAGCAAAGGCCAAGGGCAAGCCTTACTGCTGGTGGGCTCTGATGGAACTGGCAGCTAACCAAGGATGCAGGCCTGCTAAAAGGCAATGCATCTAAGACTAAAGAGCAAAGCGGCAGTGAGTAACTTGCGGCCCACCAGGTCATCTAACCATCACCCTTTATCATAGGTTATGCTGGCTAGGGTTGATAGACGATGCAGACCTTCTCCTATGGTGGGCCACAAGTTCTTTCCCCCACCAGAGTGAAGGGTATTCCTGCACCAGTGACTGCAATAGTTGTGTCACACTCCCCCCACCCAGGGAAAGTGAACAGACTACAGCAGGGATTAGTGATCTTCTCTATCCGTAAATCTATGGATTAAGAGATAACATAAGTACATAGTGCTTGTACTACAAGTGCCTTTGTGCTTCCATCCAACCCACAACCTCCTCTTTTCTAACACAGAAAAAGGCTGGATCAATCATTCACAAAAAAGCAAATCATTCTAAAATATATATACTAAGTGAAGAAGAACCTTGTTAATATTTCTTATGTATTTTAATGATAACTAAAAGTAATACTCAAATAGCAGCAACATGAAATATAGAAATAAGTGCTTTAGTATTGATAATCTTTACAACCACAGTATGTTTTCCAGTATGGCAAAAAACTAAAACCCCCAACACTCTGATATAAATAGGCCTTACAAAGGACTACAGCTAATGCTAACTTGCCTGCAGCTACATGCTGCAGGCATTCCTTTGAAAATGAGGCTTTCATCAAATTTTCTCTCTCATCTTCTTTGCCTGGAGAAATGTTTGCCAGCTTTATATTCTTATTTTTCTGATGCTAACAGTATTGTTTAAACACAAGGAGCTGCTTGCTTAATATTTAATAACATGTGGCATATTTGCTAAATGCATGCCTGTTAAAATTCTATATAAAAGGAGAATGTAATATGCTGTTTCGGTAGGAAAGCTGCATTTATATTTGTTCTTGCATTTTTGAGTCATGCAAAACAAAACAAAAAATGTCCCACTACCACCAACAAAGCTGACCTTGAATAAGAACGCATTTTCCATGAAAATATTTCTGCCTACCAATGACTGTTCCTATGAAAATGCCTCTGCCTACCAATGACTGAGAAAAAGGTAGAGCGTGGGCTTGTACCAATGAAGACATAAATTCTCTTAATTCAACAATATTCATCCCTACATTCTGATTTAGGATCTCATGACACAGCAGTCTCCAGTCTTTGTCATATGTTGTAATTACAGGAAAGCAGTATAATTGGTATAAATGTTCCATACAACTCAGAGTGGTATAGTAATTTCAGAAACAACAATAAATATAATAAATCACTGTAAAATTGTCAAGTCCTTAGCTGCAAAATTGTGTCAAAAATGTATTGAGATGAATCATTCTGTATAAAAAAGGCTGAAGAATCAGGGGCTTTAATTTCAGCAAATGCCTCAACATTTCAATTTGATATACTGGAAGAAAACTGAAGAGAAGTTTGCTCCAGATATGCTTACATTGAATTTTATAATAAATGTATGAGTGGTGGTTTTCCCATTGACACTGCAGTGAGCTGGTAGGAACTGCCTGCCAGAGAGGTCAGTCTCAGATTTAGGATTGCTTTTCAGTAATCTGTTTTATGTAGTTCCACGTGCTTGGCATTAAGAACTACAGCATCTAAGTGTCAAGGATTCTCAAACATAAAGCCTCATACACCTACTATAAAAATACCAATAGCAGGGAAAACAGAGCTGCAAATGTACAGTCTCTTGAAATTCTCTGTCCTTTTGTGAGGGACAATTTTACTGGCTTTTTGCAGGACCATGAGAAATTCTCCAATCATTTGTCACAGGTAGGCCTCAGCAATTGCAGATGATGTAGCACATCCTTTTTTCCTGAAAGGTTTTGTGCCATGGGCTGGTCTTCTCTTCCTCCTTTCAAGCAGATTTGGACAGTCTTTCTAACTAGAAACCTTTATTATGTTAAAACTGACCAGCTAGAGTGGCTTTGTGATGCAAAAGTCAATTGCAGAAATCAATAACCACAGGACAAAGCTTTGTGCTTTAATGACAGGAAGCTGACCCCAAACCGAATACCTTTCCTCCCATCCAAACAAAAACAGCTGGACTCCACCTCCATGCTGGAATATAATTCTTATGGGCCAACTGCCTGGACATCTAACACTTCTCATTTGGTCCACCATCTTGACACCGTATGATTGGATGAATGATCTTAAGTCCCTTCTGATCCATTCCAGTTTGCTCACTAGAATTTTGTCACTGACCCTGAAAGTGTCTGGTTCTTAGAGACTGCCAGACTTACCTTTGGATCCATCGGCCTTGGTATCTCAGCTGTAAGTTTCAACCCTACCTCCTCCTCCACTTCTCAATCAGCATCTAAGTCAACAACGTTTGAAGGTTATATTATAGATGAACTACGCCCAATGCCAACAACTGGGTGTTCTTTTTGTGCTGCCACCGCTAGTGGCACCAGCAGCAACTGTGTTGGCAACCTAGTCTATGTTTTGCATTCTCCATAATGCAAAATCTAGCACGGAGCATTGTTTCGGAGTGTTTCGGAGAAGATGGAGAGAGGAGGCCACTACCAAAAAAACCAAACAAAAGCAAAACAAAAACCAAAACCCCTATGGTGCAGAATATTTATCTAAAGGTACACTCTTATCCATGTTCACAGGAAATAATGTCCTGCAAAGCTGGCTGGAGATTGCTGAAAATTGAAGGATTCGTTTGTTCCTGTCTAAACACGCACAGGTCTGTGTCCATAGTACCATTTTACTCTTTGGAGCTGAGGAGAAGGTTAAGAAAGAAAGCTCTCGGAGTTTTTCTGGGAAACATGTCTTCTGGAAAGGCATACCGTAATTTATTTTCAGTTTATTTTGATGATGTTGTAAAGTTTACCAAATCACTGTGAAGTGGCCAAGCATACTACATGCTTCCTGATCTGAAAAATCCCCATGGGCTAAATTACCTCATGCCATCTTCCTCTGGGCTTTAACTACCATGCAGAAAGCCACTGTAAGAAAGGACACTCACATCAATTCCTCAGTCACTTCGTAAGTAAAGAAACCACAATAACCCTGAACACAACCCATGAGAATTTCTTCAATTTTTTTCTTTGAATTCCTTGAAGCTGATATAGTTCAGGGCCCAAGCATGTCAAGGAAACAAGGGGCTTGAGATTCCAATTTGATCCCAAATTCTGGTGGGAACAATGTCATTATTTGATTCCACACCCACAAAGCTTTCTCCAGGTAAAGAGGATCCTCTGTGGAAAGAGTCATTCCAACAGAAGAACAACCCTTCTACCACACCCAAAGCCCCACACTCATGCAATAGGCTTGGTAGAGGTGCTGCAGGAATCTGGATTGGGAATCTGGAGTGGGAATTTGCCAAGCTCCTAGGTCCCTTTAGTTTCTCTGAAGAAGCTGTTGTATCACTGTGTCTACAACTTGTAACAAAAGGAGGAGTTGGCCGTTCCGACGGTAGGTGCTGATGTCTAAGGATCATCATTTTTAACAGACCTTCAGCTTAGCAACAAAAGAATGAACCTCAGAACAAGATATCTGTTAGTCTAGTGTCTTAACCTTGGAGTAAATTAGCAGTTACAGAAAACTGTGACATCTTTTATGGTCAGTTTAGATTACACCCTGATATAGACTATGGATTCTGACCAGATGCCAGTAAGGACTTAAGTTATATCAGGTATTACCTATTGCTAAGCAAAGTTTACTATGAATATGTAGCAAATATATTCGGATGACTTGACCCAGACAATGTGTTGCTTCTGACAGTGTCCCTATGAACTAGTTATGCTGTTCAGCATATTCTGTTCTGCCAATAGTCAAAGTCCAGGGCTCTCAATGTTTTCTTGCACTCTGAAGTTCTGCCTTCTTGCTTTGCTGACTAACCACCAAAATGCTGGAGTCCTCTGGATACTTAAATTAAAAAGTGCGTATCTCTTAGTTGATTTCTTAAGTTTATGTGATGTTTCTTTTTTAACTTCATCTATCCACAGAATTGGTGATGCTTTGGCCTGTAACATTGGTCATCTGCAAGGTAATGGAAACTCTCTACCCACCCCTCCCCGGAAAGTATTAACTGGAAAATATTCTCCTCTCATTCTACAACTAGATGCTCAAATAATAATAAAATATCAATTACTCAGTTTAAATGCTGGTATTTCTGTTTTATGGCAGTATTTTGCTGTTTTATTATTAGGACTTAAAATAGTTTTACTGCTTGACAGAAATATTTAGGTTCATTTGCCATACAAATATTAACCAAAATTATCATCAGTATAGTGCAGTAAAAGAACCAACCACTTCCTACTGCAAGCACACACATATATAAGCTTTAGATATCTGAAAGTGATATCTAAATGTTTGTCAATGGGGAAAAAACCCAAAATGGGAACAAATTTTATATCTGCCTGTCTGTCTATCTCAGAGATACCATAGAAAGCTCCATTTCTGGGAGGTGATTATATGAAGGTTGGTTCACAGAAGCTAAAGAATATGCTCCCAGTCCTGGCTAGTAGTTGACAAGAAACCTCATGTGCTGCTTATGGATATGGAAAAACTTTTCTACAATATTCCTTTACACTAAGTAACCTACACTTTGACATAATTTAACATGATGGATAGTTGTTGACCTGGATTTTTTATTTTAAAAGTCAGTATAATTACAGTAAAATCTTCCTGATCTGGGCATGTTACTCAGTTCCCACCTGATTCTGGACATGCCTCTAGGCCAGATTACTGTTTAGAATCATACAACAGTAGAGTTGGAAGAGGCCATAAGGCCACTGGGGCCAAGTCCCTGCTCAGTGCATGACTCCAAGTTAAACTATCCCTGTCAGATGGCTGCCCAGTTGCGTCTTGAATGCCTCTAATTTGAGAGAGTCTACAAGCTCCTCAGGTAATTGCTTCCATTGTTGTATTGGCCTAAGAGTCAGAAAGTTCTTCCTGATGTCCAACTAGAACCTGGCTTCCTGTAACTTGAGCCCCTTATTCTGTGTCCTACACTCTGGGATGATCAAGAAAAAATCCTTCCTGGCTATTCTCCTTGTGACAGCCTTTCAAGTATGTATGTATGTATGTATGTATGTACGGATGGATGGATTGCATTTATATACCACCCCAATAGCCCAGAGGGCTCTCTGGGTGGTTTACAATCATTAAAACCCCACCAATCCTAAAATAAATAAACAGGCTACACCACAACTGAGTGTAAAATAACATGGTTAAAATGAATTAAATAAATATACCATTAAAGTTAATTAACTTTAAAATATTGGTTACATAAAAAGGTCTTGAGGAGTACTTGTAGAGTGCTATTGTATCTCTCCTCAGTCCTCTCTTCTCAAGACCAAATATGCCCAGTTCTTTCAATCGCTCTTGACAGGGCTTTGCTTCCAGTCCCCGTTCATCCATGCTGCCCTCCTCTGAATCCTTTCTGGCTTCTCTGCATGTTTCCCAGAACTGGACACAGTATTCCAGGCCCAACCAGTGTTGAGCAAAAGGGAACTAGTACGTCATGGGATTTGGATTTTACTGTTTGAAGATTTTTTTAAATACAAAATGCATCAAGTATATACAGAATTTAAAACTATGAAACATCAAGCTGATTTTGTTGTATAAATTCAATGCTTTGAGTTGGCTTCTGAAAGTTAACCAAAACTCAAACTTACTATTTTCTTCCTTTTTCACAGAGGTTCATTGACTTCTGCAGCTTTCAACCGCACTTCATTGATAGGTTCATTCCATTAACTTAAGACAGTGAATTCCATCTAGTTCAGTATCATGGGTTCATTCTAATGTGCTGGTTACTTCAATAAACATGCAGTATTTTGCAAATCTAGTTTGATTGGCAAAGCATTTCAGTTTTGGAACTCTCCAAGATTTATGGCCAATAGACCTGACATCATTAAAGAACATGAAGCTGCTAGAAATTGCAGTGGTGTGACCTGCATTTAGGATGACTGTAACTGCAAAGGAAAGAAGCATTCTAATGACAAACAATCAGATAGCCTATCAAACCAGAGCTTCAGTGACAGAACAACCTAAGCTTAGCCTAAGCATTATAAAGATATTGACCTTGCTGATCTTCTACTGTAGTATGCAGTACTGTTACCAACTGCCATTGCCATACTGATGGTCTCATATTTCTTATTGATGTATCTCATCTTGACCTCAGTTAGATATCTCAAATACTTCATATTATTACGACAGCTAACCATTTATCAGGCTGCTAATATTATATTCAGAACAGACTTTTGTCACTCATTAACAAATACTCCGTGAACCATCCCTAAGTTATTTTCAGCATCATAATAATACAGTCATTTAATTTGTTTTCATGGGGGAAGTGTGCACTGTAAAATATAATTATAATACAATGAATATAAATACAAAGAATTCAGCCAGCAAATCCAGTCTTAAATTTCTGTCCTACAATTGGGTCAGATTTGAACATTTCTTTTTGTTTGCGGAAGGAGTTGTCCACTCACAGAGGGAATGTTCTACTTCTTCTACTAAAGCAGTGTATGGAGCAAAATGAAACTAAATTCAAAGATATTGCTGTTTTTGCATACTGCGAGACATCTTTCACAAACAGAAGCGTAAGAAAAGCTGTAGAACCCATCCCATTATTGCACCACAAGGCTCTTCAGGTCCTTTGGATCTAGTCATAGAGATTGGATCCAAAACATAGGGTCTTTTTTATTGTGCTTTCTTTTATATTATATACGGGCCAGTTTCTGAGAATTCTGCAAGAAATCAAACATCTCTCCTCTGTACCTTAACTCTTAGAATGAGTGTAGGTACAGATAAACAGTATCCTTATTTAATTTGGGTTGACTGTGCAGGACAGAGTGTTAGACTTACCAGCTTCAGGGATTTTTAACACAAAGGGGCTAACATTAATTTATTAAGAATGCTCCAGAAGAAAAGAGTCAGATATCACAGTTTCATCCAAGGGTAGCAAGGCTTTTGGGAAAATAAGTAGCATTTCTAGTTTCAACTTTTCATAAAAGTGGTTGGAAACTTTGCATGTGTTTCATTTAAAAATGCTGCAGGAGATGTTGCAATACAAGTAGATATACAGAGAAATATTTATTAACTACTCACCTTTTCTTCATAACCAATACAACCCCAAGAAATATAATAACGAACAGCAAGATCCCTGCAATGACTCCAGCTATTTTAACAGTGTGGTCTGTTTGCTTCTCTGGTTCTGGGTCTGGCTTTCTAGTAGCAGCACCTACAGAAGCACATTTTAAAAGGAGAGGGGAAAAGAATTAAGACATTGCAGATTTTACTTATTATATTTTTCATACTCATAAGAATAATTATCAGATCAGGCAGATGACAAAAGGCTGCTTTCTTAGGATTTGTTGTGAACTGGAATTGATATGCACTGAAAGAAGTGTACTTGTTCATAATGCTAAACCAAATCCGAGTGCTACACCTATACCATAACCTATCTCACATACCAGGTTTCTGTATTTTTTAATTATCTGTGTTATTCTCCCTTTTGGTCTTGTTATTTAAAAATATTGCCAACAACATAACAATAAACATAAGCCTTTAACCACATTTGATTTGCTGAAACATTTTCTGCAATTATTTTTTTTATAAATGAAGCAGTAATTCCTTAACATATTAGCTTAAACACCTGGAAATGTGAGATAAGCTCATTTGCCATGCATTTTTTTACCAGCAATTGTTTTGTTTTTACACAATAGACTTTTTTGCCTCTGGAAATCTAAATCTAGGTCACATCTGGTAGGCAAAAGACTCCTTCTAAGCAATTTATTCAGAAAATGGGAAGCAGCTGATGATCATACTACTGGCACCCACATTTAATATCTGTTTAAATGAGATAACCAGTGCCTTACAGCAGCAGCCACTATCTTAAGCTTTTATAGCATCCTTTTCACAAGAATAAAACAAAACAAAACAAAACAAAAAACCCCTCCCTGTTTGTTCTGTTTACTGTATAATGTGATGGCACATCAGACTCGCATGAAACACTCATTTTTCATGAAACACCCATTTTCCCCCTGAAATAATGTTTAAAATGGTAAGGATGGTGGATTAAATTCACCGTATTGACCCCCTTAAAGGACTTCTGACTTCTTAATCAAAATATGATGGCATTTATCATTTGAGGCACCATGTCACCTTCACATGTTAGAATGACATGTGAAGATGACATGTTAGAAAGGAGTCTGATTTATAAGCTTCATCATTAAGGATCCTTTGGATTGTCATGGATGTAGGTGGAGAAAAAAGTTAAATGTAATTAAAGTTCAACATTAGGGGGTTAGCACACTGCTGTTCTCATCAAGGTCTTCGAAAGCGTGACTGAGTTCTAACCCTTCTTCTTCTTCTTCATCATCCCCTTTGTCTAGCAACGATGCAATGAATAACCATTCCTGGGAGGATGGGCCTAGTAATGCCATGCGAACAGCCATTTCCTAGCTCAGCTGGACCTTCTCCCTCTGCACCCTTCTGTGTTGCCTAAGCAATGTTCCGGAGGGTTTTCCAGCTCCTGGGAGAAGTTCTGAATGTGTGCAGGCGGCTGGGGGAATTGCTTCCTCCTGGTCCAGTCCTGCTGACAGAATCGGTTCCATCAGCAGAATGACACAATTAGCCAACCGTGGATACACAGGTGGTGTGTTTTTACTATTAGGCCTAACTGGATCATATTGGAACAGTCATTAACACAATGTGTTTTTAATTCCAGCAGTCTGTAGCTACTTCCACCACATATACATGCTAGCAAAATTGACAAAAGGGCTGGCATTGCACTGAAGTATCAGTTATTGAGAGGTATAAAATGTTGTTAAAAACTAAGTAAACAAATCAGTAAGGGGCAGAACTAACATTTAATATCAGAGATGGGCAGACATCAGGTTTGTGGGAACTACTTTGATTTTTATTTTGTTTTTTACTAGTACCCTAAGATCCTCCAACAGGAGTCTGGTACCAATGACACACCCATATAATTCACAAATTTTGAAGCTGGGAGTTTCTTTTGAAGACCAAAAGTAAAGGGAGTTTATAAACCTTCTATGCAAAAACCCAGTCCTGGTCCTAATCTTTATTTCAGAAGTAGAACTTAGGATATGCATGGGAGTCACTTTGTGGTTGTTATTGGTAAACCAGTGGAGTCAGAAATACTTGATCCATTCTAACTATTCTCAAAAGCTACAAATAGATCTAGATCTGCCTTCTGTCCACCCTTGCTCATATCACAATGCCCACCTTCATTCTGCGTTCTCTTCTGTCTATGGCAGTCCTTAGGGCTCTGCTGTAGCTCAGCAGAAAGATCGCATCAGCAGAGAGAATTTGGGGCCCAAGATGGCAAGACAGTATGAGTGGGTTGATACTTGCTCTTATTTCAATAGTTTAGGAACACACTATTTTTCTGAAGAAAAATGGAAGGGAACACTAGCCATTTTAATCAATCTATGCACATACCAGATTCAATTTTTAACAGATCATAATAAACAGAAATAACAAGTAATATTTGAATGGAAGGTTCCAAATACAAACCTATAATTGAAGAAAACAACTACTTTCTGTCATGTGGCATAGTTTTGCATTTCTTTTTTGCTGTGCTTCCTATATTCTTACACTTCCATTTTCCAGCTTTCTTGTATGCAAGGAAATAGAATTGTGATCTCTGGCACGCAAGACCCCTAGGTGTGCCAATCCCAATGACTCCAATATGTGCAGAAGCTTATAGGAGCTTGCACACTCGATTCAACATCTTTGTGTTTATGCCATGACAAGGACAAGGGGGTAAGCATTCGTAAATCATCATCAAAGAAGCCAGCCCTGGTGCTATAACTATCAACCAGTGGTGATTTCATGCCTGTCAGACTTTACGAGCTGCTGCAACCTCAGTGCCATCAGCTACAGGAGTTCAAGTACTCTGGCTTGCAATCTAGCCAATAGCTAGGCATATCCAGGCAGCCACTGAAACAAACACGGCTTCGGTGAATGTGCCTATGGACTGGAATGCAGCACAAAAGATAGCAGGAATAAGCTAGGGGAAACATTATTTTAATACTTTTGCAATTAAGCAAATCAATAGCTGAACGTATCATGACCCTTTCTGCAATATAACCTTACATGTAAGTATAACAAAACATACATTTAGAAGTAAAATGCAAAATGCTTTGCTGAATACACACACAAAAGCCTCTAATATTTCACACCCATCATGCCAGGAATCTTTCCCTTTAATTTTCTATTTGAGCCTGATTAGCAGCTGGGACTATTTCTTTACTTTTGTTAGTTTTAAATGCACTTGCTCAATGCATTACTTGTGGGTTTTGCACCAACTAAATGTCTTATACAGATGTTCCAATCAACTAACGTCGTGCCAAAGTTTTAAAACAACCAGGAAAATAGGCACAGGAAAGTTCAGCCACCAATAAAACATACTTTTCCTGTTCTGAACTAATCCATGGCAGTTTTTATTTTCCCCCTTTTCTATTCTGAATTTTGCCCTGTATAATACAGAAACTTGTTAATATCCATTTGTTCCTCCTGAGGGCAAGGTAGATGATCACACCTTCCAAAAAACTCATATCCTTAAGAGGCATGCAATCAAATTATTATGCAGGCAACGGGATAAAAGTAATATCACTTTTCAGCACCTACCCTTAACTCATATTGTAGATAAGGTCAGGGAAATGAAATGTTATACCCCTGTCTGACAGCTGCATTGTGATTAGGAGCATAGAATCATGCAAAATAGGACAGGGCTAAATTATCAAATAGTGGTGTGACTCTGTCTTTGATGATCTAATTCAAGGGTCTTCCACAATGCAATTCTGAATTAAAAGATGGGAAATGGCTCCATTTCTCAGCAGAACATAATCCTGTACACTTGCAGTTGAGGTATAGTTGAGTCATGAACTGGGTCAAATGCTAAAGATGTGGGCATAACTTCAAGTATTTCACATGCATTTACAGTCAGTGGGTACACCAAGGTCCTAAGTCCTAAATAGGTTGAATTCAGGAGTGGTAACAAGCTTGGAATGCATAGGAGAGACAGAAGTCAACAGCACAGCAAGAACCTTCAGGCTGCTCAGCACACAGAATAATATTCATATATGTTGGACTGCTACTCCCATCATCCCAACATGGGCTGCGGTTGAGTTATTGCAGTCCAACATCTGAAGGGCACTAGGTTGGGAAATGCTTCTCTAGAGAGTGAGAGCTAAAGATGTGCTGGGTTCACTCCAACCTATCTGAGTGTCCAGTCAGCCTGCTCATCTTGTATTCTTCACAGCCTGTTGGTTTGCGATAATCGGAATTTGTCCTATGCCAGCACCCCTCCAACACCTTGCCGAAAATAATTCACTGGCAAGAACAGTGTGGCATTATGGCAGCTCTTAAAAGCAATAAATCAGATTAACGATTATTTCAGTGAGTTCCATGTGCCAAAACTAAAAAAACAAAAACAAAACAAAACAAACAACTTAGAGAAGCATATAGATGCTAAAACAGTAGCATAGCAGCTGTACACCAAGAAAAGTAACTATAATTTAGCCTTGATCTGCTTGAAAGGAAATATTTTACTCATTTTATTATTCATTATCCAAAGCACAGCTATGGCTTCACTTTCAGTCATCATCATCATCGTCATCGTTGTTGTTATTAATTTTCTGCACTGCCCCACAGCTGAGCTCTCTGGGCAGTCCATAAAACAGGTAATACAATAAAAATAGATATAAAATCAGAGATACATTAAGTTTAAAATAGTTAAAACTAAATAATAACAACTGAAGACTAGGTAAAACATCAGGATGGCAATTCCCTCAAGCCCCTGGGTATCCAGATTAGTCTTTAAATGCCTTGGCATAGAGGGCCATCTTAATTTTGTGCCAAAATGATGACAAAATTGGCACCAGTTGTGCTTCAGTCGGGAGGCTGATCCATAAGCAGGGGGCCACAACAGAGAAAAGCTTTCCCCTTGGGGCTACCCTCCATGCTTCCCTTGGAGCAAGGCCTCAGAGGCTGAGTGGAGTGACCAAGCATACTGTGGATGGGAGAAGCGCTTCGTCAAGTACTGCAGTCCTAAGCCATGTAAAGTCTTATAGGTTAAAACCAACACCTTCAATTGGGGCCAGAAGCATACAGGCAGCTTCTGAACCATCTCCAAGGGCAGTCTTGTGCAAAGTGCATTGCAGTAATCTAATTTAGAGATCCCCAAAGCATAGATTACTGAAGTCAGGCTAT